TGTCTGGACAAGACTGTCTGTTATAGGCTCGTTAAAGGCAACACTTCCGTTTATGTCGCTGTTTTACGCTGAAGGGCGCCCGGGGCTCCTACCGGAAGTGTCACCAAGTGCTTAACCACCGCGAAAGGACGAGCGTCGTCAGTCCTGCGCACTGCCGTGACGAGCACGCGCGTGATCGAGGAGGTAAGCGCGCGCGCGCACGCACGCACGCGCGCCAGATCGCGCCAACCGTCCGACCAAAAGGGAGTCGAAGTTTAAGCTCAGCTGAAGTAAACGAGTGACGTGTTGATGTGGCGCCGAGCTGCAGGCTAACGGTTAGCTAGGCGCTAATGGTTCTTTTCCTGCTTCGACCCGTGCGCAATAATGACGTCGTCGTGCCTTCGTCTAATAAACCCAGTGAGAAGAATTCTCGTCAAGTCATATTCATCGAACTGGTCGCTCACACAAGCTTGCTTTCTTGTTGTGACGCCATCGACTGTTCTTGTTGCCCCCCCCAACAACACTTGTCGCTCAGGTGATAGGTGAGCGGCATGGCTTTGATCTCCTTGGACGACCTGGAGGGGTTGGACGAAGACGAGCAGCTGGACGATGACATCACGGACAACCCCGAGCCAATGGGGGACGAGCACTCGGATAGGCTGCTCGCTCATTGGAGGGCCGTGGCCAGCACGCATCAGGTCACCGTGCCGACAGGTGAGAGCACACGTCATTATGTCGCTAAGCTAACAGCGCGTGAGCAGGTCGTGAGCTTTTGTTTGCCCCCCCCCCCCTCGTTTTTTTTTTTTTCGGGGGAGAAATGAGGGGCCCCATCCACGAAATGGCACGCAACAACCAGCAGAGGGAGCCTGTCCCCTTCGCGCTGATTTCCTGTCAGGAGAAGGTGGTTGATTACGTCTTTCCCTCGCGACGATGACGTCACACACACACAATGGCTCTTTGCACTTTGCGTGTGCAGATGGGCGAGGTGATGTGGGAGGAGCGCGTGTACCCGGCCGGCAAGTGGGCGTGCGTGCGGCAGGCGGAGGAACTTTACGAGCAGAGCATTTCCAAGAGCTTCATGAAGTTGATGCGCTTCATCTGCAAGGAGAACTCAGCAGGTGGCGCGCGCCTTCCACATGTCGCTTTTTGAGCCCACGTTTTTGCAGATCGGAAGGCATCCATTTTGGTTTCGCCGCAGGCGGCCACCTGGGCATGACGATACCGGTGGTGAGCACGGTGCTGGTGACGGCCGACGGCGAGACGCTGGACAAGAACGTGGAGACGGGCTTCTACCTGCCCGCCGCCTTCCAGGACGCGCCGCCGCGGCCGCACGACCCCGACGTGGAGGTGGTGCAGCGCGACGCCTTCACCGTCGTGGCCGGGTAAAAGACGCCGCAACCTTCCCGGCCGGCGCGTCGCGTCCCCCCCGAGACGCCGCCCATTAACGCGGCGTTTTGCCGCGGCAGGCCCTTCGTGGGGACGACCAACGAGGAGACGGTGACGCGCCACATCGGCTTGCTGCGGGAGCTGCTGGGCGCCTCGGCGTCCGAGCGCCTGCGCTCCGGCGTCTACATGGTGGCGGTCTACGAGAACCCCGGCGTCCCGCGCCGACGCAACGAGATCTGGTTCCTGCGGCGCTAGCGGGTGGGGGGGGCGACACCGCACGCACGCTCACACACAATCTTGGATGCCGTGTTGTTTCTCATTAGCATGCTTAGCTCTTAGCGCCGTTAGCTGGAAGCATATCGGAAGGACAGTGAGTGGAAATCAACTCAAGTTTATTGAAGGTAGATCTTTTTTGTATCGTGACTAAAAAAAAAAAATCAAAGGCTTTTAATTTGAAAGGTATCCTGAAAGAGCTGTTGAATGAACATTTATTGTGAAATAAATGTGTTGTCAATCAAAAGACAAGGATTGCCTTGACGGCTGCTGCTACAGTAGCACAAATGGGGGAGGAAAAAAAACCAAAAAAACGAACAAAGCTTTATTTACAAACAAACCACCGTTGGCCAGCCCACGCAACAGGAAGTAAAAAAAGAAGGACGCCATCGGGGTCGGATGCCTCCG